TAACTTTGGTCTGTCATGTAATTAATAAGAATTATTTGCCTCTTTAAGTTTTAGAATGTCATCGAAATTTACAGTACGCGCGGAAAAATAAAAGTTCTTTATTTAGAATGTTATCCAGTAAGAATAGAATCACTTTTGCCACATTTTGCTTAATAGGTGAACTGCTCAAAATATCAATATTACTGGATATGTAAGTATAAACATCTAGTGTACAATAATTTATATTTATGACGAGAATGTATATAATTGTTTAAAATGTTATACAATCCAATAGAACATTAACTAAGAAGCAAGCGTGTAATTATGATCAAACGTAGACTTATAATAGGATAAGTACATGACGCAAAGAAAGAGATCCAACTAGTATCTCTTCCATATGTTTTGCAATATTCATTTAAATATTGTGAGAAATGTATAAAAATTTATTCTAAAATATGTTTATATTCAAAGAAGTACAAGAAAGTTTTACAATAAAACACAGATATGTGAATAAGCATATACCGTATGCAATTTAAACAAAATTAAATGATACGTATTCCTTATATAAAGTTCAGTTTTTTAATTGTTATATATTTATGTTTATTTTCTTACATGTTCAAAAGTTGAAAAACATTATTGGTATATTTTTAACAGTTAAAAAATTAATTTAAAGTTCAGCTTCATTCAAAGCAGAACATATTGCAACAATGCAAAAATTCCAAAGAAAGCAGATCTACTAGATTTGAATGTTTTGAAACGCGTATTTTCGACGTCTGTTTAAATGTTGATATTGTCTCAGTGTCCACACAAGTTGTTAGTTTGGAAAAAGTAGTAACTTTTAAATTTAAATTCGAAAAATATTCTGCGTTAATTTACATATCTAACGAAAATTTATCACATACAAAATCTGCAACATTTTTTAAACAAGTGCCTCCTATATTAAACTGAATTATTGCTGATTGCTTTTGATGTAATATTATTTTTTAAAGATGTTTATTAATCTATTTTCACTCCCGACTACTGCCAATAAAAATTGGCATAATAATAATTGGCAAAAAGAGAGTATGCGTTTCATTTAGACCGAATCAATTGTTATTCTCTTGAATCTATTATTATATTGTGAGTCAGAAAATGTTTTCCAATATTTTTTTGTAACGGCTTGAAAAATAATGAAACGATAAACAGACTTCTCTGATTTGGATACGTATTGAAAAATAATGTACTAAGATCTTTAGATTTCCAAATAACGTTCATACCAGGAATATGGCACAATACTATTCTCGCATTGTAATTATATTGTTGGTTGATTAACTTTTATCATAAAATCTTAAGCTAAATATAAGTTCAATTATTGTGTTGGGATCATTAAATTCGAAAGAGTATATAAGTTTTTTTAATATCTATGTGAAACTATAAAATATATCTTTTTGAACATATACACACACAGGTTGTTTTAAAATTTAATATATTTTCCCGTTTCACGAATATTCTACGATCATTATATTCAATACTTTTTATTAAAGAAGTGAACTTTTTAAAGTTTTATATTTAATAATATTTTGTATATAAAAGTATAAAGGTAATGTGATCTCAAAATTAATTTCACAAAATATTTTAAATTTTACTCTGATTCCCGTATTTTGATACAAGAAGTGAATATCTCATACATATAAAATATTAATTCTCCGATGACTTTATCTTGACACTTTTAGGCACAAAACAGAAAAATTACTGTAAAGTCGATTTAATTATACATTAAATGATAATATTTATTGACTATTAGTAATTAAGATATATGTACTAATGACCTTAAATACATGATGCTATACGTATTTTTGTATCGGACATCGAAAACATTCTCAGTTTTCGATTATCTCTCGAAAAGATAAGATCGTAGTTGTAAATTTTCGATATTAACAACTTATTAGGTTGTGTTAAGCACAACTAATTATTACAAAACATCTTAGGTGCACAATTTTAATACACAAGGTGAGTCGCCAAAAATATAACATGTACGTCAGAACAATCTGTGTAATCACTAGGATACATAATTTATAATTAAACAGATGCAAATTATTTTTTCATTAAAATTTATTTTTTAAACAATTATCAACAAGATTTACTTTTTATTTTTATGTTTCTTCCGATTGCTGTAAATTATATATTTCTATTTCCCTTTTTTATATATCAAAGCTTATGAAGAATTCTGCATTTATATTTTTTAAATATTTCTATGGACATCTCAAACGAAAATTGGCATAATATCTTTAAAACTATTACTAATTAGTGAGCTAGTAATTAATTTGACCAATACGGATTACAAAAGCTAATGTAGTTTATTCCATATCCGTTTTCTACTTTTCTTAAATACTAAGGCTACATTCCAAAATATTTTCTCTAAGGAAAATATTACTTGTGTGTGTGATATAATAATATATGTTACATGTACTGTATATTACGAGTAGTAAAGTTTCCTTTTAGAGGACGTTCTAGAATGTAGCTTAAATATATGATCATGGATGTAGTGTTGTAAATAAATTTTGTCAATCTCAGATTTTGTCACCAATTACCTTTAAAAATGCAACAAAAGCGCAGTATCAAATATATTTGAATAATTCGAAAGGAAGAATACGAAATATATGCATATTTTGCATTCTTCATGTTTTGTTCTATACCTTTTTTTTAACTAGATGATTTTTTATGATAAGTTGAATATACAATACGTAAATATATAATGCAAATGCTAATGTTTCTATTTTAAAATAAATATATTTATTGAATTTTCTTGATTTGTTCGTATTACTGTCCATTAGCTTTCCCTAAATGCCAATTTTTGTTATAAAATAAGATTAAATAAAATCTTATAATATTTAATTGTAGAAAGTATACATTTATGTTATTAATCACAAATTTATGTATCATAGAAACATTCGAACAAGCAATAATTTATATTTGATTCATATTAGATCGATGTTCTCATGTCGGTTAGACGTGATCATAAATGTAAGCTAATGCGTTCAAAGAAATTTAAATAAATTTGATTTTAAAATAAAAATCAAGTTCAAGATAAAAAATAACAGTAATAGATAGGTCAATTCATGATAAAAAAATTAACTCAAAAAAGTAATATAGTTTATTAGAGTGTCACTCACAAACTTTTAACTAATTGAGTGACACTCTAATAAATTATATTACTTTCTTGACATAATTTTTTACTCATAAATTTGATTTTATTTTGATTAAGTTTATTTATCGTCATGTCACATAATATTTGACTATTTTGTTTAAAAGAAATGACAAACAAATCTTGAAAGTAACAAGTCATTACATAAATACAGAAACTGAGTATTACGTAATAAATTATTATTTAATTAATTAATATTTATTTAATATTTATTGTTTAATAATATCTATTAATCAATATTATTAACCAATATTACAATAAACTATTATTAAATTTACAATATTAATACTTGTTATGTATCTCTGTTAAGTAATAAATTACCAAAAATTTTTTAAACGTCTTTTAATGAAAATTAGAGTATAGCCTTTGTATCTTTTTCTGCTTTTTATGATGTACAATTTTTACAAAATTATGATGTACAGGGCTTTGCGCTGCGTTTCACAACTAAATTTTTGTTATTCATTAAAAAAGTTTTTATAGATACCGACAATGAAAATTAGTATGGGATTCTGGTAATTATGCCGATGAGGGGAGTCAGCCCTGATGACTTTGACCTTGATATATATTGTCAAGGTCATGACCCTGAGTGACCTCCAATAAGTTTTAGCCGTCGCTCGTCATTCGTTAAAAAGTTATTTACAGTTAAAGTTAATAATTATTTCACCGCTTTACATGAAAAGTCAGATAACTCTAACCTTCGACTCTCACCCCCCTTCACCCCTCAACCCTGCAAAGGGGAAAACCTGAGAGAAATTAAAATAGCACATATTTTTAGAGTAAATGTAATCTAAACATCAGACACAGATAGCAGTTAAAGGCGTATTATATCTCATTTGCACATGTTGTTGACGAAGTCACATCATCATGTGAAGCCAAGCTAGATTTCTGAACATCTGATTATATCTAAAAACTAAATCTCATCAGGTATAATTTAATCTTATTTGACCTAATTTGATCCACACACATATATAATGAAATCTTCATTTTTTTGGGAAATAAAGCATATACAAGAACATTTTTTTTTAATTTGTATATTAAATATCTAAATAATTTTTTTAATCCAGGTAAAAAATTTTTCATGTTGAATATATATAAATACATATAAATAATACATATGCAATATAAATATTCATAACCCCTACAGCACAAAATTGCACAAAAGTTGCAGCAACACTACAGCAACATTGCATATTGCAGCAATATTGCAGAGATGTTGCGGTGATATTGCAAATTCTGTATATATGGGAAACATGTATAATTATATATGAAATATGTCAATCCATCAATAATGTCCATCTTTAATTTTTTCTTTTATAAAATTATTTTTTAGTGTAAAAATAATAATAATGAGAAAACATAAAAAATAATTGAAGGCATATAATTGTCTCATTGTTTATTTTAGGAAAATCAAGTTTGGAGAAATATAAAAAAAATTACTCATAAATTATACATAATTATGTATGAGCAATTTTTTACATTTCTCCAAACATATATAATTATATCATATTGCGATCTAGTAGTCAACTTCGAAAATCAATCAAGAACCAAAACCGTGGATGTGTTATCCACTGGGAAAGTTTATATGTTGACTACCTACGTAATTCGAAGTGCACAAGTCGTAAGTATAGAGGAGCCAATGTCACTTGGATTGCTAGAGTTTTAGGTTAACTGTAGTTTAAAGTCACTTTACTGTAGTTAACTGGAGAGCGGCAAGCGCGGCAAGACGGCAAGACCGGTCGAGAGCGCGGTGCGTCCAAAGTGCCATTGACCAGCTGCGAACAGTCTGACGATCCTTCCGTCAAAGACACTGCGCATCGACGAAGAAACGAAAGGTCGACTAATTAAACGATAAGCGATCATGGCAACGCCCACCTGTGATAAGAAAGCGAGAGTGATCGTTTTAGGAGGTGAGGTATCTTGCTATATATCTATATGCCGGCTGTGCGGAGCGGAAGAGAGATAAGACGGTGACGGCTGATACCTTTATCCGTTTGCGATTACAGGGTGCGGTTTCATCGGCCGCAATCTCGTGGGGTATCTGCTGGATAACGATCTGGTATCCTACGTGCGAGTCGTGGACAAAGTACCACCGCAGACTGCATGGCTCAATGCGAATCACCAGCGGGTGTTCGAACATCCTTTGCTCGAATTCAAGAGCGCTAACTTGATTAACATAGGTAATTATAATCAGGAATAAATATCAAAGAACAGGAATTCCATTGGATAAATTAATTTACATCTATATAATTGAAAGAAAAAGAATTTTTCAAGTCTTAATATTTGCTTCAAAAAATAATTAACATTCCCTTTCTCTTCCTTATTTATTATTGTTTTTGTTCTCTGTATAATAAGAGTAATCACTAATTTGTTGCATGTCTCAGTCTATCATAAAGTATAAAAAATATAATATAAATGATAATCTGTAAAAGGATAATTTTTATCTTATCGTAGTGTCCTGCCAAAACGCGTTTTCCTGTAACGAGCCTATCGATTATGTGTTCAATTGTGCTGGAGAGACAAAGAGTGGTCTCACAGATCCGGTGTATAAAGAAGGTATCTACAAATTGAGTCTGAACTGCGCCCAGCAAGCAGCAAAGATTAGAGCCTTGCATTACGTGGAGATATCTTCCGGCAATCTTAACGCTTCAGAAAAGGTATCTCTCTGAATGCCATATACTTTAACGCGAATATGGATTCAGGATTGATCATTGTGCAATGTCACGTAGACTCCTCACAAAGAAGATGACGCCGGAGAACCATGGACATTTGTCGCAAAATACAAGTTACAAGTGGAACACGAATTCAAGAACATACCAGACTTGAAATATACCATACTTAGACCGGCTATTGTATATGGTTGTGGTGACAGAAATGGCCTAGGTAATTCTAATTTCTCTCGTAGTTTATTTTATTGAAAACTGTGTTCTTTTTAATTAAAAAAAAAAAGGAAAAGAATATATCTTGGTAACTTGCAGCACCAAGACTGGTAGTGGGTGCAGTTTATAAGCATTTAGGAGAGATGATGAAATTACTCTGGGGACCGTATCTTCATATGAATACGGTTCATGTGAGGGATGTTGTCAGAGCTATGTGGCACGTAGCTAACAGACCAGAAACAATAGGCCAGACATATAATCTCGTGGATGAAGGAGATTCTACTCAGGGTTCTATCAGTGCTATAGTCTCGGAATTGTTTAATATTAATCACGATTACTGGGGCACTGCGCTATCTACACTGGCTAAAGTATGCAGGTTTTTATTTTATTTTTTTTAAAGTGTTTTATGTATATATATGTATGTATATTTCATATATATAATATATATATAATTTGCTTTTATCCTTATACTTTATAGACTGATATGAGCTCTGTTGTCGAGGAGGTAAATGACAAACACATGGCCCCTTGGGCAGAAGCATGTCGCAAAGATGGAGTGGAGAATAGTCCTCTGTCCCCATATATAGATCAAGAACTTCTATATAATAAGCACTTGTATTTACAGCCCGGAAAATTATCGAACACTACGGGATTTATGTACTTGTACCCTAAATTAACAAAAGATGCTCTTACAGAGGTAAATTATCGTTTGTTTCATAAATTAGTTTCGAAGAGAAAACGCACATGTATGTAAAGATGAATGTTCACAAAACTGTTTTCTCCATTTACAGGTACTTAATGATTATGTAAGCATGAGGATTTTTCCATATTCCTTGGTTCTGTGAACTTAGCAATACCGACTGCCGAATTTGAATATCGATTCTCTTTTACACGAAGATGCTACAAATACTGGATACGGTACGACGCCGAGCGTCGTTTTCACCTTGTGCCTAGAAGGATTCTATATTAGTTACATATATTCTATTATACACGTTATATACATCTTTACTTGACGTTTTACACGCCAGTAAATATCGCTGAATGAGATTTTAGAAAAATGCATATATATGAAATTTGGATATTTCGTAGACGGCCTATTGCCAATGTGATAAAGTAGCAATTAACGTACTTAATTTTAACTTAGTTCTGCAAGTACAGAACATTTTCGCACCTTAAAAATGACTAGTCAAACAGTGACGTTTAAGAATGATTCGGAACAAATTCTTGTACATGAGGATAAATATATATATGTATAAGAATACTTAAACTTTAAGACGTTCATGGTTTATGAATCAATTTCAATGAATGTTTTAGAAGATCATTGATCAAAAAGAAATGCTTTTTATATACTATTTTTTCAAGACTGGACTGCGTACCAATAAAATTGTTGAAAACCTATATACAGTGATGGGAGAAAGTTCCGTAACGATCAAATATCTTGGAAAATAATGATTATGGAAGAAAATGTTCAATATAAAAGTTTTAGTATATCAAGTGGTCTATTATATGGTTATATTGAAATGACTTTCATGTGACCTTGAAGGACACCGTGAAGGTCAACTTTGAAATCTTAAATGGAAACTCCTATATATTTTCTATTACATTTTCTTAAAACTGGTGTCAAAACGTTTCCGAAACACTGGTTACAAACCCTTTTTGCTTGAGATCTTCCTGAGTTACGAACCTTCAAAATCCTTCAAGGTCACATGAAAATCATTTCAATATAACCATATAATAGACCACTTGATTACTAAAACTTTTGTATTGAACATTTTTTTTCCATAATCATTATTTTCCAAGATATTTGACCGTTACAGAACTTTCTGCCATCACTGTATATTGCTTATATTACTAGATGCATAACAAGAGTTCTTTTTATATCTGCTACATTCCAAGATGTATATCTTCCACACAAAGCTGTGAATCAAGTCTTTCTATTGAATAACGGTTACACACATAATTTTATTATCGACAATTTTCAAATGGCGACCTAAAGAATTGTATTAAATTAAGTACAAACACTGTTAGAGGTGCGTTTAGAAGATATTTCTACAAAAGATATTCCTACAGAAGATATTCCTTATCGATATATGAATGATAGTTCATATTGATAGATTTATATGTGAACTGTGCGTGCGTTTACACTTAATATAAAACAAAACAAAATTATATTCTGTTTGGCCTTAAATGCCTCATATAAATATTAGTAAGTGTATTACACTGTCATTTTGTTGTTACGCCAATGTTGCTACATGTTCTTTGATAATAAAGTTGCTCCATTTACGAAATCGTATTGACTCACTGTACCCTGTACCAAATGTTCTTCGTGCTGCAGAAGGGATATACTTTTTTTACACTAAACGTGCATTTGTACATTGTCTTAATTTTATTGAATCAGTGGTTACAACAAGACGACATGTTCAAGAAGGGTCAACAGTATTATTAAATATTTAGTGTATTTAGTCTTAATACTTCAAACAATAAGATTATAATTTCATGTAGTTCATTATACGTAATATATTAAAATATATATTTTAATGTTCTTCGCAGATAATATAATATGTATATATACAATCGCAGGTAAAAGTATGTACAAAGTAACTGCACCCTAAAGGATAATTGTCGCACACATCGAGATAATAGATCTAAATCGGAAAGAAGGGCGAAATGAGGGCTTGCGGAAAATAAATTAATAGTCTTCTTAATATATAATAATTATAATTAACGATAATAGTATAAATGAATAAAATTACTGGATTCTCTTCTTCTGTATATATTAGGTGTAAAATAAAGTGTAATGTCTTGGCTATTTATATATACATATACTGTATGTGCTGTTACACACGCAGTATATATATGTATACATAATAATATATATATGTGTGTGTGTATATGTAATATAATATATTGTATATACGCACGTGCGTATATATCTACCGGGCGTGAAAATATAATCTTTGAGGTAAACTGCATTTAAAAAAAATTGTAAACAATAGTCTAATAGGTACCGACGTTAAGTTAAAATTAAGTAATGTAAATCACTCTGTACAGAGTGACAATTACGGAGGTATATTCGTTCGACTAGAGCCGCCGTACAATACAATCAATACTTGCTACTATATATTTATAACACTACAGTCTGTCTGATAAATTATATCGTACTCTGTATGAAAGGAATGTGTATGTTTATGTTTGTGTGTATATTATCATATATGGAGCGACCAAGTAGTCTTGCACGGATTTCATATAAGTCCTGATTTAAAAGACAATAAAACATTCTTCTCTTTGGCTGCCGCATTGTAGGTATTTCTAAATTAAGATTATAAGATAGTGAAAATAATGCGCAAGAGTTAATTGTTAAAAGATTCACGATGATATCGTGTCTCTTTGTTCGGTAAATTATGATAATTAATGATTAATGAATGCGCACAATATTTGTTACGGTAATAAGTAGATTATGATCTATGATATCATTTATTTCCGATGTTCGCATTTGCGGTAATACGAAGGACGCGCTAAATGCGAGACGATGCTTATTGCTTTTGTATGTACTATAAGGTAATGTTATCTTCGTGGATTTTGTACATACGAAATGCTTCACGTAAAGTCCTGCAGGCTGTCCTCCTTGCAAAAAAAAGAACAGTCTGTAGTCGCTTCGCGTAAAACACTTGACTTCCTCTCCTGAACGGCGACTCTATAGTCATTTGTTCACGACATAAAACCTATCACATCCACGAAATTGTTTCAAGAGCACTATGGTATGCGTGTACGGAGTGTTTTGTCGTTTCAATTAAATTACTGATTGCTGTTGGCGATTCGTTCGTCGCTGCGGCTACCTCTTTCTCTTTCTCTCTTTGTAATACAATACTCCATTACTGATACTGCGGATATGGAATCGGGAATATACAGCAGCAGAATTATACATGTAACCGGAATAACATACGTTACAGCTAAGGGAAGTATAGTACATTATGCTACTTAAGTGTAAGAAATGAGATGAGGACAATTTTGATAAGCGTAAACTCATTCTCACAAGAAACTCATACAACTGGCAGTTATATATCCAAAGGCTTGTGTCTACGAAAGATTGCTAAAATGCCAACAAGTATTTTTATTCTGAATAAGATCATTATATATCAGAAGAACAATTAATAATCAACAATTTAGATGCTCAGAAAAAATACACACTATATTTGAAAGTTTGAACTTAAGTGGTTAATTCTGCATTTTAATCTTGACATAAATTAAAGAAACATATAATATATCTGGATTTATTCATGTGTGTATGAAGATTTTTTTAAAACCAGTTTTAACATCGTGGACACAAGCCCTAATAGAAAGTAAAATAACTCGAAAAGCATTGCATACTTTCTACTGCTTATACGTCATATAGCGTACAATGTTCTTCTAAACTTAATTATCGTTTCGAATTCATTTTTCATATAATTAACGACTCTCTCTCTCTCTCTCTCTCTCTCTCTCTCTCTCTCTCTCTCTCAAAATTATTCTTTTAAATGCTTTTATTGTATGCTGCATATGTATGTGTACACACACACACACACACACACACACACACACACACACACACACACACACACAGTGCGCGCGCGCGCGCGCGCACATACACAACACACATTTCAAAACGCAGGGGTGTATAACGTGAATGTGTATCTTTCTGGTGCATAATATTAACAATACGTAATGATCAACTAAAGGAACAATCGGTTTAATGTCTTGCTCTTTCTCGTTATTATACGGCAGCTTAGCTATCAACGCTATAGAAGTGATTTTCTAAAGTATACCATCAACAAATACAAAAGTACATGAAAAAGCATATGAATATACCCTCAACAAATATGGAAATAATATAAAATGTAACAGGCATTACACATTATATGTATATGATAACAAATGCAAAACAGATTAAATAAAATCGCAAACCAGATGCATCGAATGCATGCAAACGCATTCGCAACAAAGGTTGCTGCACAAAAAGAAGAGAAAAAGAAAGAAAAAAACTGTTTAAGAATATATAAATTTAATATTGTATATGCGATTCTATATATATGAGATTCTCATAATTATATTTATAATACATATAACAAGTTCCATGTATTCATGTGTAAATAAAACGATTCTTTCTATTTCAACTGTATCTGATCTGTGTGTGAACTATATAGAGCTATTGTAATGCGATTTGCAAAGTTCAATAAACGGAATAAGTAAATCATGGTGCACAGTTAGTTAACTAAATATCTCCGTATTAAACGCAAAGTATCGACAATATAACAGTAGTATGTTCTCGTCTCTTGAATAAAACGAAACGGAACAGTAATAATATATTAGACTTCTAACAGACTTTGTTATGGAAATGTGGTAATATTCTATGGAATGAAGATATGATAGTCTTTTTAATATATGCAGATCGAATTAATTCTAGCGTTAATTGTTTTCATACTGTGCTCATGGTGACTATATTATTGCATGATCCAGTGTAATGTGTTCACCTAAAGTATATGCTGAATGTAAAATGCAATAAATAACAATTAGTGGAGGTACAGTAATAACATTGACATTTCTACGTCTCACTCTAAACGATATAGCTTATTCTATCAGGTACTGTGTTGGGTTTTTCTGTCATGGTAACATGCACCAGTCTGGAATATGTGTCTTGTAGATTCGTCTTGAATGTTGCTTCTTTCTTTTTGTGTAATACACAGAACTGCTTTACCAGTTAACACGCTAAATACCGTACATACAAAACGTTGACATTAATTGTATCGATTACCTAATCGCCTTAAAAACGATATCAATCTTATGAACGGAAAGAAATCCGAGGAATACGTAAAATTCGTACGTAACATATTACGCAAAGTCTTTTCACATAAACATTCTCCAACGAGGTTTTCTGTTAATTATAAAAATATCGTCTATTAATACACACAGCAGTCTTTACAATCTCTTATAGAAGTAAACAATTGTGAGAAAACAAGGTGGCCTGTTATTCGCCATTCGTTCGAATCGCAATATTCTGAGTACGATTATCTTTCTGAATATTCCTTCCCATTCATAGGATTTCCTTTTAAATTTAAAGTATGATATATCAATAGTTCATTTTAAACTAATACAAAACTTACATCAAATATTTTAAGAGCTATTCAACATATCTTTCATTTGTCATGCACACTAGCTCCAAATGCAAAAAAGATTTTTACTTTGATTTCTTGGAGAAATCAATATTTTTGTAAAAGTGATACCTTAATGACACACATACGGTACATTAAAATATAAAGAGAAAAATAGAAAAAAAGAGGAAAAAAGAAAAAACACGGAATAAAAAATTTTCTTAACATTTCTAAAAACGCGTAGCATCTGGTTAGAGCCTTTCCCTGTTTT